GGGCGGAGGGCACAGGAGCCGGGAACGTGAACCCGTCGTGCAGATGGGAGGGCGATGGTAGGGAGGGAGGGAGGGAGGGAGGGAGGGAGGGAGAGGGGAAGGTGGGGACGGAGGGGGGAGGAGATTCTTTGAGCGGGCTCGTGAAAGGGAAGCAGGGATGTTATCAACAGAAGGGTGGCGAGGTTGGGGGTTTTGGAAGGGGGGGGGGGGGCAGCGTGAGATTTACTGAGAAAACGGGTCCCCCGAGCCAAGATGGCGCACTGGGCAAGGGGGAAATGAGGTGTAGGGAGAGAGGGAGAGGGGAGGTGGAGATGAAGGAGCAATGCCAACAACAACGAAGGTGTAGGGTGAGAGGGAGAGGGGAGGTGGAGGGGGAGGAGCAATGCCAACAAGGAGGGTGAAGGAAGATACCAGTACGGGGAAGGAGGCGGTGGCAGAATTTATTTTCTTTATGTTACGTCCTCTGTACCCCCGAGAATCACCAGCGTCCCAACATGGGCCATGCTTCCCTCCCTCCCTCCCCTCCCTCCCTCCCTCCCTCCCTCCCTCCCTCCCCTCCCCCGTGCCCTCCCCCCTTATTTCGGCTCCGGCAAGGCAGGGGTCTGCTCGCGGGCGTCGTCGTCCAGCTGACTGCGGATGTAGTTGTACACATCCCGGAAATTGGGAAGGGAGCTGCCAGAGGGAGGGAGGGAGGGAGACAGGGAGGGAGGGAGGGAGGGAGGGAGGGAGGGAGGGTGGGAGACAGGGAATGGAGAGGCAGGTGAGGGGCACGAAGCACGTAGTGACGTCCTGAAGATGGTAGAGGAGAGGTGGTGGGAGGGGGAAGCAGCCCGGAACAAGAACACGGACGAGCGGATGGTGGGAGGAGGGAGGGAAGGAGGGAAGGAGGGAGGGAAGGAAGGAGGGAGGGAGGGCGTACCGAATTTCCAGCTTGGCGCCATCACGGAGGAAGAGGACCATGTCACCTGTGGTTCCGAAGGCGCGAAAGACGTAGTTGATGCGTTCGATGTCCGCGTAGATGACCTAGGCAGTAAGGGAAGAAGGGAGGGGGGGAGAGAGAGGGAGGGGGGGGCGGGAGAAAGGAAGAGCAGATCAGTGAGATGCCTACTATCGAGAATGATATTCCTTTTGTTTAAGCATACAGTCGCACTCGTGAATGGTATGTTTTTTGCACGCTCTTGACTTCCTTGTCTACCTCCCTCCCTTCCCTTACCTCAGTCAAGTCCTTCCCACCCACTCCGCTGGTCACAGAAATTCGCCGCGAGGTGATCTTATATTTGACCTTATACCCGTACATAATAGTCAATAAGAGGAAGGCGATGAGTGTGGGGAGAGATGACGAGTGCAAGGAGGGGTCGCGGTGACGCCCCGGGCCCCACCCGAGAAGTCACTTCCTCCCTCTCACTCTCCGCTCCCACCCTTCCTTCCTCACCCAAATCTGTCGCGCAACGGAGGACGCGAAGGGAATGATGCCGATGACGGTGAGGATGGAGATGGCAGGGACTACCACCTAAGGTAAAGAGGGACGGTGGGGGTTTAGAGTCGACAGGGCAGGGGGCAACCGATCGACGCCTCGGGCGCTGAGAGCCGTGGGTGCGCCGCCATGCTGTACTATCGTAGGCTTTCCGCTTGTGGTTTTTCAACTCTCTATGGAGACATTTCTTACCTCACTCCAATGCGGTGCTCCCTCGAAGAAGACGGATTCCGGCTCCAATTTCATCTTATCCTTGTCAGCTAATGCCCGCCTGGCGGCGTCCACTCCCTCTCGTTTTTCCTGGGCCATCATGAAATGGCAAGATCGTTGCATTAACATTATGTCATATCGATGATGCATACATCAATAAGAGAGAAGCATGGCCCATGAAAAGTGAAATCTGCTCGAGAGTCGCTCGAACACAGGTAACCCACACCTGTACGCTCGCCCACGTCAGCCCGATAAAATCCTCTTACCTTGCGTTTGCTGCTTCCGCTTTCGCTGGGGCCGTCTTCATCGTCTAATTCACCCAATCCTTTCAAAAGCGAACGGACTTGCTCCTTGCTTTTTTCCTTTCGAGAGAGTTCTTCGGAAGCAGAAGACGCCAGAGCCCGGCCCCGTTTTGACAGCGGGGAGGAAGAGGAGGGGAGGGAAGGAAGAAGAAAGGCACTCGAAAGAGAGACGAAAGAGAGGAAATGTAGGAGACGCATAATTTCCTGGATGTGAAAGATATTACTAATGGAATGAGTCTTCAGATCATTTGGACGTTTTTTCATAAGAACGATCTGGTGATCAAAGCGCAAGCTACCAAAATTCCTCCTTCCAAAATAGTTCAGCCACCCAAGTGATAGCGTCCTTCACTACACTAGCGTACACATACATTCTTGCCTGCCATCGCTAACGAGACGGTACAAAAGAAGGATTAAAAGATAGGGATGACCGGGGTCGGACAAGGGCGCAGGTGGTCAGACGTATGCGTGTGGATCGTGGCGCTGGCGGAGGCCGTGCCAAACATTCGAGCTGCCCGCGGTGTCTTGTAAAGCGTGCTTGTGGAAATGCGGACAGGGTTGATGGACGTGGTGACGTAGAAGCGCACTGCACCATGTGTGTATGGATGAGTAGATTTGCTGCGCGGACACAGATGAAACGCGGCGTCGAGTACTTTCTTCTTTTATGGCACTTTCCCCGTTAACCTCCCCTAGTGTCGCCGCCTTGCGCCTTGCTGCCCAGCCTGTCATTCGACACTGCGTCGAAAAGGAATAGTCTAGCCTTACCTCGTTCTCTATCTTATAATAATGTACATTAGTGAATTTTGGGGCTAGTGGTTATTTCTGGGCTTACAAGTGTCCCCAAAAACATACATTCAAACCATCCCTTAAAAAATAGTGTTAGTCAATTTTTTGGCCCTCTTCCTTGTCTGTGTCTTTCCCCTCTTCCATCTCCACTCCTTTTTTTTGCTCAGCTGCTTCTGCTATCATGGCATTTTTAAGCAATTCTTGTGTACTGTCCGCCAAAACAATGTTTGCTTGCCCTGCAATTTCCGACGCTTTCTTTATTTGTCCGGCGTTGACAAGACCCCGTATGACCAGATGGTACGTTCTTTAAAAAATGTGCGATTGGAGAGGGGAGTGACGTGGTATATTGGTATGCGTATCTTTAAGTCACTGGGCTTGTAAGGCGTAAATAAAAGGATTCACTCTGCCGTCACCACCTTCAAACACATATATCTGCTAGCAGACCCTCCCTCTTTTAACCGTACCGGGCACTGCGATTCACATTCATGAAAGGCTCCATGGCATCAAAAAGCTTCAAGAGTCGCTCTGTGTCCTTGGCCACGCCCAGCCTGGAGGATTAAAAGGATCAACAAATACTTTTTTAAACAACCACTGATAATCCCACAAACGAATTTTTCCCCTTTCTTCGGCTCCAGAGGCTCTCACCTATGCAATGCCATGTGCAACATTTTCCGCTGCGCCCACAGCCCCAGTCTCTTTTCCCGCGCCAGCAAGGCGTCGACCGCTTCGCCCAATCCGTCCAAGCGCAGCATGGCCCGAAGGAAGAGGGAGGCAGAGGCTTCCCTGAACTCGACGTTTTTATATAGGAAAAGGTCCACTGCTGATAATAGGAGTGCTTTGTCCTTCTCTTTGGCCTCGGGGGAGCTGTTCCTGGAGGCGGAAAGGAACAGTGCGTGCAGGTCTTGTCGGCGAGGGAGTTTCTGGCCCTGTTCAACGGAGAAAAACGTTTTTACGCATAAAAACGCTGACGTAATGGCGGCCTTCAAAAGACACGCCCGAAAGCCTGCATTCGCATTTCACTGCTATGCAGATCAGTCTATGCCGTGATCCGTGTCTCCTCTCCCCATTTTACCTTGCATTTCTCTTGTAAGGCATCCCACAGTACCCGAGGAGAGGCCCCATCTTCCTGAAGCTTCGTCAACAAGGTGCGCTGTGGCTGTCCAGCAAAGTCTCCTCCTGCGTACAGGACCGAGGGACGTACGACGTGAGATAGGAGCGTTGTGAAGGGAATGGCAGATAGGTAGTGACAAGGGTTACCCACCATTCTCTTTCTTCACCGACAAAACTTCAGCGGGAGAGGGAGGGGCCGATGAAAATTTGCGCATAGGGATATGCAAATACGTCTGCTGCGGCTTATACGGTCGTTGGCATATATGCTGATGAATAGAAACAGAAGACACGCGTCTGCAAGTAGCCGTAGCCCGTGCCAAATCCGACATAAATATTCTGCCGCTATCCTCCCCAATAACATTTTTAAAAGCCTTTCTCGTAGCCACTAAAATCATGTGAAATGGCCTTTCAGGGATCTTGCTGATGTGCCCCGTTAGAAGCGTACGAGAAGCAAGACAAGAGAGCATGATTGACGGTGGTATGGCGGTGTGGCTGTAATCTTGTCACGGACCAAGCCCTGCGGAAAGGGACACAAACGTAATCGTGAGCTACTAGCGTATATCAGTGCCCTCCCACCGACAATATAACCTTTTGCCAGCGACCAACTCACTGTAGAGCGTGTAAATTTGCTCGATGACGGCCAGCAAATCAGGACGGGGGATGGGGACTGGCAGCGGACAGCACTCTCGCTCGTACGTTCCATCTTGTTCCTTATCACTGGTGTCTAATCTAGGACCAGTGACAAGAAACTTGTCGGTGTACCCTCTTGCACGTCCGTGGACTTGCATTTATTGATTAATCTCCGTATTGATGTATATTGCGTCTTTTGCAAGGCTTTCGCAAACTTGCTAGGCGTTAGTATTTCTACGGCACGATTCCATGGACGGAGCAGGGTCTCCCTCCAGAGCTGTAGAACATACTCTTTCGAAGGAAAGATACATCCGAATGTGATTTAATTTTTAAGGAAGGTGACTTATAGGCAGCACAGACTTTTGGAGGCTGTTAATACTTCATCAGGCAGCGCTTTTGAAAGGAAATGTACCCAAAATAATCCAAGATGCTCTGAAGCGAGAGTTGTAGGCTATAATTCGAATTCGGCCATATACGTGTACATTGCATTCCAAATATCGTATCACTCTGAGCTACCCTTTGAAATCACTTAGCGCTCAAATCACCAGGGCGGTGGGCTCCCTTTGTCGCGCCATGTGCTCTCGAAACTCTGCCCAACTGATCCCACCCCTTTTATCCGAGTCAATCTCATCATACATCTCTCGGACGTCTGCCTCTGTCAAACCCTTCCCCTCCCCTGCCGCTCGGATGGGAGTGTGGCTCCCATTGCTGTTACCGTCATAGTGCGCCTTCAACAACGACCAGACTTCCTCGAAGCTCAGGCGCTCGTCGTTGTCCGTGTCGCCGTCTTGGAACGCGGCCTCCTGGGAGAGGCAGATGCGGATGAACTCCTTCACCGATATGACTCCGTCCCCATCGAAGTCCGCGGTGGCCATCAAATTGGCTACCACCAGGCGCGAGAGGGCCTCCCCATAGCAGGCCTGTTGGTTTGTCACGAGGTAGGATAGCGTCGTTCAAGGAGGAAGAGGGAGGGTGAGGACGCTTTTTGCCCCGGTAGCTTTGCTTTTCCGTCCAACGACACGCATAAAAGCGGACAGTCGTGGTAGAAGAACATAGCCAGGAGGTTTCCGGCAATATAAATGCAGCAGACAGGTCAAGAGTGTCTCCTTCCCACCATCCCTTGCTGGGTCGGTCGCACGATTTAGGCGCCAGACTGCGGCCGTTAAAATGCAACTTTACCTTCGAAAGATTCAAATGTAGCGGGTTTTAACGTACATCCGCCACCACCGACATTCCCCCGCCCCGTCCTCTCCCCCTTCCCGCGCCCCGCCCTCCACCAGTACCTGTGTCGCAGCCGCCACCTCCTTCTGGGACAGGACCCCGTCACCGTCCGTGTCCATGGCGCGGAACCCGACGTGCTTCGCCAGGTCCCACCAGAGCATGCGGCTGTGGTGCGCGACCAACACCTCTTTCAAGCCCCGCCCGGCCTCGGCCGAGGTAGGGAAAACCGCCTCCGGGTGTGCTTCTCGGTAATCTGGGATAAATAGGAGAGATTCGGGGAAAGGGATCAGGGGCACCATAAGCGTACCTATGTCCACCTGGGCAGCAGCCTGGCAATTCCAACGTTTCCTCAAACAATCGGCGAAAAGAGATAGTGTCAGGCCTTCCTGCCTTTGCATTCGAAAGCTCGCTCCTCTCACCGAGAATGGGGCGCAAATCATCGATGCCAGAGACCACCCCCCAGGTAGTGGCCAGGGAATACATTCTAGAAGCTTCCAAAGGCCGGCCTTGAACGTGGGTGATCGCGTGCGTGGAAGCGTCTACGCGGACGCCTTCGTCCACCTACAGGAGGTGGGGGGAGGGGGAGGAAGGGGAGGAGAGGAGGGAGAGGGAAGGTCGTCTGTCTGAGAGAATGTGGTGCCTCGCTTGACTCGAGACGAACGCCAGCACGTCTCTTAGACCCCTGGGACAGGAAACGCAAGGCGAGAGGGCGAGAGGGGTGGAGGGGTATGAAGGCGTAAACGCTGACATACCTGCAAGAAGCCCCCTTTCTCGACGGGGGGATCCAGGAGGGCAAATTGGCGAGAATACTGGAGAAGGGAGGAGAGGACAGATCCGGGTAGGCGAACGGTGACCATTTCGCAAGGGAAAGGGATTTCTGCCTACAGCGAAAGGGGAAAGTGGGGGATCGGAAATGAAAGGAAAGGAGGAGGAGAGAGAAGGGAAGACGAAGAAGGCTCTGCATAAATGACCATTCAAAGCAACCCCGCATTCCTGATACATAGTATATATACATATATATATAAAGGCATGTTTTTGTTCCTTCTTGGGGCGCACCTTCAGGTCCTTGTAGGTGAAGACTTTTTGTGAGAGAGGGTAAGCCACGCTCGCCCTGATGTTGCCACCGTTCACGAAGACACAGTCGACCTGGATGCCGAAGGAGGAAAAGAGAGAAGGAAAGAGGGAGGCAAAGAGGGAGGAGGAAAGGGAGGGTTAGGGAAGGAGGGAGGGGAGGTACAGGAGGTGAGGGTAATGCATGGCTTGTGGAGGCCGAAAGGGGGCCTTCCCCGATAACAGACACGCAGGCCTGGCGCCCTTTCCTCCCTTCGTGGCCCCCTGCTCGTGGGGATGCTGTTTCCATTCCTCTCTCTCTCCTTCTCCTTCCCCTCCCCGTCCTCCCACCTGCAACGCCTGGCGGGCCGCGGTGAGGAGCATGGTGCCCACCGAGGTTTGCATCTGTGCCGGAGACACCAGGCCAAGGAGTGCGCGGAGAAACAGAAAATCAAGGGGAGTATACGAGAGATGGGAACGTGTATACCGTTTTCGTGAAACAAAAAAAGAGGGACAGGCATGCTTTCCTTTTGACCACGTGGGGAGAGGTCGTAGGCGTCTTTGCCAGCTTCCCTCCTTTTCTTCCTCCCGCCCGTCCCTCCCACCTTCTCCCTCTTCCTACCTTCCTGACCCCCTTGGAAGAGAGCGGAGTCTGGGCGGGGACCGGGCAAAGAACAGCGCGTTCTAGTTCCTGTCCGAGGGCACGGTCGGTGGTCGGGAGACATTTGTGGGCATACCGTGCGCTGTCGCCTCGCCACCACCCCTTCGCCCCTGTCAACCCCTTCTTGAGCGTGGCAGATCAAGCCTCAGGAGGCTCTTTTTGCCCGGGCCCGGGACCCTTGGACTTGACACCCACCCTCAACCCCTCCCTCCCGCCCTCCTTCGCCCCCTGCCTTCTCCCTCCCTTCCTTCCCCTACCTCCAACACCCGCCAGTGCACCTCCACCCTCTCCTGCACAGCCGGGTCCACGGCAAAGCTGGCGGCCTCCTTGATGCACGCCTGGGGGAAGGTCGGGGGGGAGATCGGCGGGGAGGTCGGGGGGGAGGGTGAGACAGTCATCGTAGGAGGATTGGAGGCACGATCCTCTGACAACTCGCACCCGCTTTATCCCTCTCTTCACCGCCACAACGGACCTTGACCTCCAGTCTCCTCCTCCTTCGCCTCTTCCCGTTGCCCGCGTCGCCCCCGTTCTCCCTCCCGCCCTCCGCCCCGCCCTCCGCCCCGCCCTCCTCGGCGCCAAAGGCCACGTCCACGACCCCGATCCACGTCGCGTCCATGCCTACTTTGACCAACGTGCACCGCTCCGACACCTCCTTTTCTCCCTCCACCCTCTCCCTTTCCCCCCCCACTCCTGCAGCGACGCCGCAGACGGGATCCGGCTGCTCCACCCGCCTCCAGGGCTGCCCTCCTTCCCGCCCTCCCTCCCTCCCTCGCCGTAGGTCTCAAGGAAGGGGTCGTGGTCGTGCCCGCCTAGAATGAGCGGGAAGAGGCGGGTCTGCGCAAGCTCTCGGTCCGCGGCGGAGTGGACGTGGAGGGAGGGAGGGAGGGAGGGAGGGAGGGAGGCCGGCCTGGGTGAGTGTGGAGTGGATCCGCCGAGGAGGGGCGAGGAGGATGACGGCATGGGGGACGAAAATGGTCATGATGCACTCAAGAAGCTCGCAAGCTATACGGCCCATTTCACGGCTGAGAGGCACGGCCCGCCTTCACTGCCGCTCGAGTCCTTCTCGCCTCCCCTCGTCTCATTATTCCCTGTCTCCTCGCCCCCCGCACTTTCACCTGGTGCGTCATGGCTAGCACACAGTCCACCCCCTCTCCCCCCTGTCCGCCCGTTCGGTACAGCTTTTCGCGCAATTCCGCCGCGGTCGGGAGGAGGGGAAGGATGGGGGAGTCCGCGAACGAGCGGGGGCGGTAGAGGCCGGGGTCGTCAGTGAGCAGGCCTGAGGGGGATGGGGAGGGCGGGAAGGAGGAAGAGGAAGCGATAAAGGGGGTGGCGTGGCTCTGAAAGTTTGGTAAGCAAGATCCTGCTGGTCTTACGGTCGGCTGGTAGTCGTCTTGGGGGATCCCGTGGCCGGGACTCCTCCCCCCTCCGTCCTACTCCCCCTCTCAATTCTTCTGAGCCCGGACACCTTCTTTCCCCCTTCAATCTTTCTCTGCCATACACTAACATCCTTCCCTTCCGCATTACCCAGCAACGCCACCTCTATCCCCCCCACTTCCAGCAGCGCGTATTCGGGAATTTTCTGAGGCTCGAGGGGCACGTCGAGTAGCGGCAACGAGGGGATGGAGGAGTTGATCTGGGGCAAAAGAGAGGAAGCCAGGGATGTTGAGCGAGCGGCAAAAAGGGCAGATTTCTCTTTTCTCTCCTCGCTCGCGACCAGAATTCTCCCCTTCTCCCTGCGTCTTTTCCTCCTCTCCTTGCCTCCCCGGGACCCTCCTCCTCCCTGTCCGTCGGTCACTACTCCTCCCCCGCCTTCCCCACGCACCCAGACGAAGTCGCTCTCCACAATCCGCTCCAGCATGTCCCGGTGGGGGATGTCGGTCTCGTGGTTCCCCAGACACACGTAGTCCACGCCGCACGCGTTCAGGACGTCCACCATGCCTACAAATCGGGACCGGGTCGAGCACCCAGGTGTAGGAAGAGGCGGTGGAAAAAATGAGCGAATTTCATGGGGGTGGTTTCTTCCCTCCGTACGCCCTCTCCTTCCCTCTGACACCATCGAAGACAAAAGCCCCGGGCCCCTCCCATCTGCCCAACACTCCGGACACCTACCTCGTCCGTTATCCAAACAACTCAGCAATGACGGGGCGAGGAAATCTCCTGCCACCACCGCCAGGACCTTGATTATAAGGCGCCCTTTCGACGCTTCCTCCTCCATCCGCGCTGCGGCTTTCGTCTGGAGTAAATGGAAGTAGGGGAAAATGGCCAGCAACTTAGCACAAACAAGGCTGTGAAAAAGGCAGACCTCCTTTCTTTTCCTCCTTCTTCCCACGTTGGATACTCTTGTTTTCTATGCAGATGCCATCTTTAATCTAGGACATACTATGAGCCAATCAGGAGATCGGGAGCTGCTCATACGGGCCTCCTTGCCCTTCCATCTACATCCCTAACATCAGGTCAAAGTGACTAAACTTACCTCCCGGACGGCCGTGGCAAAACGCGGCAGGTTTTCCAGCTCATAAACGTCGTTGATATGCAAAAAGCGCAATATTACTTGCGTGGCTCTATCCATGCCGCTGCTCCTCTAAAAAGGAGACCAAAACACGTAATATGGCCCAACCTTTAGGCAGTACTTGGACATAAACGCCCCCGAAAGGAGGACCAAGGCAAATGAGGCAAGTAGGCTGCAGTGCGCTGCTATTGGCCTAGCCATGTGAATATTTTCCATACGGTGAGCACATCATAAGCAAGGGGAAAACGCACCGTGAAGTGGCTCGCGGCCATTTTGGGGGCATTAGGAACGCCGAGGCGAATGTTTCCAGTTCTTGTCGTACATCCGGGTAGGCAAAACCCACCGAGACCCACCCGTCGGACGCCAGACAGTGGTTACGGCAGAAAGATTTTGGACCCTTTAACATCTATCTACAGGTGTCTGACTGGACTGGTATGAGGGTTCAATAGCTTTGCTTGGTGCCATGTTTCACATGTATGCAGACACGTATCATGTACATGTATATATATTTGATGAAATGCATTCTTGGTGGTGAAAAAATATTGATGCGCGACAAATCGCCGCAAGACAACTTTCAGTGGTCCGGGGGATAAGCAGCAAGAGAAACATCCTATGACATGACACACATTCGAGCACGTCATTTCCATCCAGCAGGATACGATACATAAAGCAGCGAATTAGAACATACATGTAAGCTTTTGGAAAAGTTGTACTTTTTAAGCCTTTCACGTCTGTTGTACCAGTCTAATCCTGACCTTTCATTTCGACTTCTTGGCCATCGAATCAGTTTTTGGATTTCCCCCTTAGTCATTGATTCAGTTTTTGGATTTCTCCTCCATGCCCTCCCAAAAGCGCCAACCGTACCTCAACCCTACCTCCATCGGCTCCTTGTTTTTGAAAGTAACCGAGCGCCTGCAAATGTATCGAAAAATCGATGAAAAGGAGTGGTATTTGACAAGAGAAGTGGTCTTCGCCCTTGAAAGGACAACAAACAAACATCACACAAAACTGCGGTTCAGAGACAGAGGCATCGTCTTTTCCGTTCGACGATGCAACAGTTGCTCTCATGACACAACCAAAGATCCTTTCTGGCCTCTGGTTTGGCCCTCACCCGAACGTTACAACAGGTCTGGAGGGAAGAACCATTCCCTTTTCTTTATCATAGACGACGCGCCAAACCAAGGCCGCGATATTCTTCTGATCTGCGAGAGGAAAGGAGGAAAGAAAAGGAGCCAGGAAGACGATCAGGGTCCCCGTCCTCAGTACTTACACTGAGCGTGTATTACTGACAAGAAGGAACAATACAGAAAAATCACAAACAGAGGGAGGAAACAAGTGTAGCTCTACCCGTTTTTCCCTTTCTCCCTCCGAGTCTTCCCCCTGTGCGAGCACCTGAGGCTTCTTCGTATTCCTCCTTGGTTGCAGGGGCCGATGGACCTCCGATGGCGAGGTCGTTGGCGAAAAGCCCGATAAAGGCCGCTTTGGCAGGAAGGCCCGCTTTGGGCACGAAATAGCTTGGAGGAGGAAATCGAGTGGGAGAGGGACGCGGAAAAGTGAAAAATGAGAGGGAGAGAGCAAGGGAGTCACTGTGAGCACACGCCTGGGATATAAGACTTAAATATATAAGAAAAAAGAGAATCTAAAGTGTGAAGCAAGGATCGAAAATAAGCCATAAGCGTCGTCTAAGAGGTGAGAAGACCGAGGGTAAAGCCGGGGCGTGGGGTGAAAGACAGGCGAAAACACTCGAAGGAGGGGAAGGGAAGAGACACGAGAAGGGAGAAGACGAGGGCAAAGGCCTGTGACGTGCGCACCTCTTTTCATCCGTGAGAGGTGCTACCTCAATTGCCCCCCTCGCCCCCACGGTGACGCTGTGCCTGGTAGGGGAGATTCGAGGGGCGGGCAACAGTGGACACCGCCGCGTGTCAGGCGATGCATCCAGTCATTTCCATTCAGAGAGGGCCGACAAGAACCTCTGACATTCCACTCAAGCTCTGCCCATGCTCGCTTCCTCGCCATCCCCCTCCTTTTCACCTACCCTTGGAGACCCGTCCCGTCCGGGAGGTCCGCGAGCACCTCGAAGATGGGCACGAGCTACATGACAGGGAGGGAAATGCACCGCTTAACCGTCGATAAGGCCCATGCCAGCCCGCAGCTCACTTTCTCGTACCCTGACCTTTCCTACAAGCGGACTGCCTCGCATATCCCCTGAGACCCCTCCTTGTCCTCCCAAGCGCGACAAGCCAAGCCTCCCTGCAGGTCCCTCCCTCCAACACTCACCTCCTTGTTATAAAACACGGCGGCTTCGGCGGAGGGAAGGGAGAAAAGGACGCTCTTGTCTCCTTCACCAGGCGACGGCTCCATGCTCCCTTCTCCATATCCGCACAAGATGGAGCCCCATTCCACGGTGGCCTCCTCCACGTCCTTGCCGATGAGACGGATGTAAAGTCCCCGCTCGTCGGGGAGGAGGGTCGAAGGCCCGACCTCCTATTCGAGGGGGATGGGAACAAGGATATCAAAGAAGATGAACATTGTATCACCTACACGATTGCTGTATTCCTTCCTGCAGTTTACATACCAAAGCCAGCATGTATTCTTCCAAAATAGCGCCCACCTCCCTTTTGACCTCCCCGCCCTCTGCCTTTGGTCCATCGTAAATAACGGGCACGACCTTTGGGTCGACCTTCAAGGGCATGGCTACATGAGTAAAGGGTAAAAAGAGAGGAAATGAGATGATTGAGACAGAGAAATTTAGGACACGGTACAGGAGGACATAAAAAGATTTACATAAATTTATGCTTCCAGGGTCATTTTTTCCGTACCACTGATCCCAGTCTTGGCGACGTGCAAATTCCAGCTCACCTTCCTTCACGTCATTTGTTCAAGGAAAATGGTATGTGATTGATGATTACGATGTGTTTTGTTTGCTACGTAAACATTAAAGCATCTGCACGTCCAACCTCCCCTCCCTGCGTACCTCATCCGATGGGAAAGAAAAAAAGCATTGCCAGGAATGAGAGCTGTTGTTGTAAGCAGCATCATACAGACAAGATGGTACATCATCGTCTCTTCGAAGCTGTGGGAGTGGATTGTTTATAATGGCAAGGGATTTAGAAACGAAGACTAAGGACATAGCACAACGAACGGTACGTATCCTTTCCTCCTGTGCCGTGACGGCGCCGCATGCTTATGTACCTACATCTTCGTTTTTAATGCGACAATAGGTCGTATCCCATTGACTTGGTATTGAAATTAATATCATTGGGAACCATAGTACCTCTGATATGCTGAAGTAATTCGACAAAGCTCAGAAAAGTAGTTTCGCGGAGTGGCCAGGGTTAACATTAAGATATGTCATGTGTCGCCGTTGCTTGGTGATGTTGGCCAAAAGATGATGCTTTGCGAGAAGAAGGAAAGGCGGACATGAAAACCTACATCCCGCCAAACAAGGCTTAGAACTCCATGACAAGTGCGGCAAGGGTGTTAGACACGTGTTTCCGGAACCTTTTATGCCCTCGGTGTTCGCGGCCATGTCGGCCCATGGTTCCCCCCTGTAGGGCCCATTACGTTTTCAATACACACAGCTCGTATCAAGAAATGAACTTGAAAGAACCTCGCGCGCATTTAAAAAGTCTTCATCATTCGTTTTTACTACTCATTCTATTTCGTCCTGCGTAATCCTGCTTCAGCACCATTACTTATTTGTTTTAGAGGATCCTGATGCTCCTGATATATTGACATCTAGTATGTTGACATCTAATTTCCAATTGCACCTAAACCCTTGTGTGCACTAGCACGGAACATTTATTCACCACCATGAAGCTCTTTCCCTCTATTGGGGCATTCGATTGAGACGCTCATATGCCCATTTCCTTACCTTTCTTCTCCCGTGCTTGTCTCCTCGTCCAGCGCACCCTCTAATTCGTGCCGTTTAAGAAAGTTACGTGTCTGCATAACTCTCTGTCTTTCTCTCTTCTCCACATAGTTACCATATTTAATTCGAGTCTTTCTCCTCCACGCCTTTATTCAATTGGAGTTGGAAAGAAGTCTACATTGCACTTTACAAAGACCATTTCAAAAGCCATTGCATATTTTTCTATCATTCTATACGCCTTTTGACTCCTATCAAGACCATTCCTCACCCTGCTGCTGGAAATATCTTATCCTTGGTATTGCTCAAATTGAATGCCTCGATACCACTGTGGCTAGAAGGAAGGGTGCCCTGGGAGATTCCCTCCCCGACCCGTTCCTCGTTCCCTTGCCAAGTCTCGACCCCGCTTCTAGACGATCTCGCACATTGAATCTGTTCTTGCAATTGCGGTCGTTCCTGTTCCTTACGATCCATATCGGGAATGCAGCATGAGATTGAAGATGTCGCGGGTTTGGCGGACAAGAAGAGGCTCGCCGTCCTGATAGCCAGCTGCTCATGTTCGTGCTCCCTCAGCCGCTTCTGCCGCTTCAGCTCTTCCGCGTGCTGGTGTTCTTGCCGTCGAGTAATGATTTCCTTCGTCGTCAATGCCTGCCCAAACAAATGGCTGGAGAGATGGGGCCCTTCCTTTCCCTGCGGTTGGACGTGTGCACCGTCCATGTCCATGTCCTCCGTCGCTAGCTCCCCAAGCGGTTTCCACCCACCGACACGCGTGCGTTTGCGTTGTTGTCGTGAGCGACGTCGCTCCTGGTCGCTGAGCACTTTTTGTGAGTCGACCGAGAGCACGCGCTGCATGTCCGGCAGGCGGGGGCCTTTCCCTCTCAGCTCCCACGCAACCGACTCCCGCCCTACGATATCCCCCCCGTCGTCAACTGAGTCACTTGAACCCTCCGATGCTGTCGGGGAGGTCAAAGGCGAGATGAGCGGTTCCGCGTCTCCTCTTTCCGGGTAGGTTGAGCGCCATTCTCCAGAAGCTGTGCGGGCAAGGGCCGAAGCTTGAGGCTGATAACGTCCTTGGCCAATGCGCGGTTGTGGACGTTGATATCTGGACTGGCACGAAGGAAGTGAACCTACTGCTGCGACGGTAGAGACTGGTGCTTCGCTTGCTAGATCTCCTAGCGACGAAGATGGGAGAGCGGGGCTCCCAGGGCAGGAGCCAACGCCTTCTACCTCCATCCTTCTGCCACCCTCGTAACACTCCGGCAACACCAATCCACCGCCTCCTCGGCGATGCGTCGGGTGGTATGGCCTGTGTATGCCATTATTCCGTGTACTATTGACTGCGTGGGCGGAAATGGGACTTCCTGGCTGCTGATGTCGCTGAGGTTGAACTAAGCAACCGAGCTTAAGGGGCATTGCGGGATGATTTCCCTGTTCACACATTCCCTGGGACGCACAAAGTATGGCTTGCTCTTTGTTCTCATAACAGCTTTTAGGGGTAGTCCGTCGGCTTGGTCCTTTTCTCTTGTCTCCTGCGACAGGAAAATCGAAACCTACTACCATGGAGCGTCGATCTTGATCATTGTCTGCCATCATTGTCTGTCCCTCCGAGACGCACAAGCTATTTGCGCATATAATCACAACCTATGAAGACTTTAATATTCGACCTTGTGTACGTGTACATATGAAAGTTGGACACCTATGAATCAAGCGTTAGCACGGGCGAATATGGAGGGAGTGTTCAAGCTTTTGCTTGGTCAAAAAGAGTACTACGGCTCAGAGGGTACAACGAAGAAGTTCAATGAAGTTCCTTCTCGTTACTCATAAGTATAATGAGTTAGGCAGTATACTTTGGGCACCGCTAGTTTGGAGATCGGTCACTACGCATATGTGCCGCTCTTCTTTGTTCAAGCATCGCCACACGGGTCGGAAGGACTGAATGGTATATATCTACATCGTGAAAGAGAAGCTCGCTACTGTCGTTACCATACATGAATCATACATGTATCATAAATTAACATCAAAGAGCAAGTGATCCATAGATAACTGAACAAAAAAACGTCACAGGTGCGCACAACCACGGCGTTAAGAAACGAGGCGGCCACCGCAAATTTCGCAACGGCTGCCGAGGAATTCAAAAATTACACGTTTAAAAAACGGTTTTTGCGGGCCTTCATCGCGAAAAGATCCCCCGACGAACATGCTATCAGGCATTTTGTTTCGAAGATTCAGCACCCTTTTGACAGCAAAGCTTGAGTGATTACTACAGCCGACGATGGTCTCGAAAAAAGAATCCGGCATGTGCATGTCGCGCGCAATCAGTTGTTCTGCACAATGTGGATAGATATGTGCACAAAGCATATCGGAACTGAAGCCAGTTCACTCCAAGTAAGAGTCAGGCAAGAATTTGTAAGTTCAACTTCGGATGTCATCGACGCATTCGTTTCCAGTCGTCCTCACGCCCCCATCGAGCATCTCGCCCCCTCCCACTCTCCCTCTCCCCTCTTCTCTCCCGCCCACGATCTGCACCCGACACGTGGCTGTCCTGGCTACGGCTTCGACTCCTACCACGTTTCCTTTCTCTATCTCCCCTTTCTTTCTCCCTATTTCCCCCACTACTGCGCGAAGAGATCGACCGGTCATCCTCCATCCCCCCCCCTCCTCCTCCTCCTCCTCCTCCTCCTCCTCCT